CGCAGGAAGCATGCAACGTTGCAAATTTGCATATGAATAAACAAAAATTTGATTGTTCAAAATTATATTTATATTTAAGCAGCTAGAGATCGTTATGTGTTTGAGATGAAATGTCGTGTTTCTGTAATTTGCTCTTAATGAGGCTTTAAACGAGTCTGGACATGCGAAACTTTGGTAATCAGCTTGACTTTTTGGTTGTTTATGATTTATTTTCGGTTAATATTATCTGATATTTTCCGGATTTGGACATGTCATGGTCATTTACGTATGGGCATCTGAAAGTTGAATTAATCGCGATTTATACCATGCCTAACATAAATTCCATCATAATACGATTACCAGACCGTGAAATTAACAGCCTGGCCCATCGCGGGCCTTTGATATTTGCTATTTTATTATGTTGGATTTATCTTCAAACATGCTTGGTATGGTATTTCAGTAAATTGTCCGCGGGCAGATTCCAGAATAACTATATGGACCGTAAACTTGAGAAAATTAATTTCTTAATATCGCAATACAAGGTGGATTTATGGCTTAGTTTTTAGAAGTGTTTTGACCTGGTCGTCCCGAAGGCAGTTTATTACTTTTTTACTCCGAAATAAACTATAAACAATCTGATCTCATCATTTTGACTTGTGATGTAGGCAGCGTGCTGTGGAAAGATATGACTATAGGTTGCAAACAAGTTTTAGTCATGCTTCTATTATTTGGAATTTTTCATTGCAGCTTTAAGAGTATGATTCCTGGTCATTAAAAGAACACTTGCTAATGGTTAAAATAGCATATTCGATGGCTTTCAAATTTTTATTTTCTATTTTGAGAATAGCGAGGGAGTAGTAAGTAGAGGAGTAAATTTTTTGATTTGAAGTAAAACTTATTTTTGAATAAAGTTGAAACATATTCTGTTACGAAAACGTACCAGTTTTTTAAAATTATTTTAGATCAGCGACCAGCTATTTTATTCATGCCTTTGTCTTGTTTGTAGAAGGCTACATAAAGCTTTATCTTTGTAGAGTCCACTTTTATTAAAAATGCCGGCATTTTAGACAGAAAATTTTCTTGCGAAATGCTGGTAAGCATAGTAAAACTTCATTTTAAATTCGAAGTTTACATATGAGTATGTAGTAAACTAAAAGCAGTAGCTCAAATTGTTTTGTCATGTAGGAATGTTGATGCTATTACGTAAAATATTTATTCAGTATTTGCTTTGGCATAGCGTGCGGAATTTGACATCATGGTATAAACAATATGTTGCGTTATGATGCGGTGTCGTTGAAAGTCCGCCAGACAGGTTACTTTTTACTCAAAGGTATTTTTTTACGTTTCTACGCTATTGAACATCAAAAGCATTGTTTATTCTTTTTTGCTGTAGAAAAAAAAAATATGGTTCGTTTTCTTAAAATTTTTACTGGGAGAAACTATGGTCAGTTTTGTCGAAGAAATAAACACTGACGGTCAACGATGTTCGGATCTTGTGATCCAGTTCAAAAACGAACTTGCACAATTTTTGTCCGCAAGTTGGCGTGCGTGTTTGATAATATCACTAAGCACAGAACAGATGGATTACCTGCGTCTAATGATCACCCTATGGTTCGAGGAATAAAATGGGTAAGATGAAATGTAACTTATTGATTCATGCATATGGTATCCAAATTAGTATAATTTTCGATATGCATTTGCTGAGCTTTAGTTAGCTTTCTGCTTGCTGTATGTTGCATATCGAATATTTTTTCCAGCATTCTGGTATTCATATATGATTTTTAAAATATTCTGTTGCGTTATTAGCTTTCGAAATACACTTATGCTGAGAGAAAGTAACTCGGAGACTGATTCATATCCGAAAAAATTGTTTTCGGATAGAAATTTAGCTTTGGTTCGTAAAATTGAAATGTTGCGGTCCGAAGCAACAGCAATAGTTTTCGTGTTTTATCATATAAAATTAGCAAATCATTGCCATCTAGTTAGAGGGAACAAATCTCTAAATAAACAGACATTTAGAACTGAAGGCTGCTATTTCATTGGAAAGATACTAGTCGTTATTGTTTGTCATAGAATAGACAATTTCTTCAACGATGGTTGTCGCCGAGAAATAATTGTTTGGGTTGATAAGTCAGAGAGACTTCCACTTGGCGCAACTATTTTCAATGAGCCAGGATGTGCCATCCCACCATAGAGTAAAGAACAAAATAAAAGCATTTCAAGTTATACAATCGAAAATGACTTTTCCATGGTCATTACGATTCCCAGTGGACAGACGAAATGTACAACAGAGGAAATACCTATGACGTCATAGTTCCAGTAAATTCTTGTCGTAGTTTCGTCATCGAAATTTTCGTTGCAATGAAATAAGCGATAAAAATAAATAAGGAAGATTTCCTCAGATAAACTTTTTTCGATAAAGCAATTACCGTTTTCAAATACGAGCGATTTTCTACAATAAAGTAAGAAATTAGAATTAAAATGACATCTTACTGGATTGCTAACCGAAACTGTGATATCAGACAAATAAAGGTTTTTCCATAATATAAATCTTATTTTGCAAATGTAATTAACATGCGAACGAGTGTTAACCATAGACTGACCATCTTCGGCAAACAAATATTTCGGCAGAAAATTTATGTGTGATCCACGCCTAATCTGGGGAAAGGAATTTTCCAAAATCCGTTATAAGATGCGTGATATAGTATCGTGTGCAGGTGTCGTTGGCCTGGCATTGATTTCCAGTCCAGTTCCCTATTCGAGGTCTCAAAACTGCGTAGTATCGATCGAAAATGCATTAAGCATTACACTCTTAACAAAGGTGACTGAAATCACTTCAAAATCATTGAATTTTTTCATTTCCATTGCTAAATTACACTCAATATCTAGAATAAGCCACTTGGGTGGCTTTCTTTCGATCGGGACACTTTTCCAATTACGCGGAAAAATGTACAATTTGCTGATATTTTTACCGCGTGGAACTAAAAATTCGCAAAACCGCCATTTGTATATTGCCTCTCTCGTTAGACCACGGGACTTTGATCTCTTGAGACCGTTATGCTTAAAGCTATATATATTTCTTTCATTTTGTGTTTAAATCAGTCGTAGTATCGTAGAAGTTGCGTTTCCGTTTATATAATTCGCGTATCAAGCTACGATCGTTAATACGTGTGAAATACGGGATTCTGATGTTTTTGCACGTAAAAAGGTGAATAGTGCAAAAGAGAGACTGGCCTGTATGGTCAATTGTAACAGTTCGACAAAAGTATTAATATGTAATAATAGGAATCAGTTTTAGTAAAGAAAAAATATGGTTAGATTTTTAGAAAATATCCTAAAGTATGGAATATTTGGTAAACCGTCGAAATAATTTGATAAGTCTTTGAAAAATTCCTATTACCTAAATATTGATGAATATCAATAACTATGTTAAGATTATGATGTAAATGCCCCATTCCTTCTAAGTATTGATATTCTCATTTAATTTTCATAAACATAATCATATGCTAGCAATTTTAAAATGACACCTAGAAAATTAAAGCCGGTACCTAAGTCAGATGATCGCGATACAAGAGTAGATTTAGAGGGCGGTCACACTCATAGGTTCGGTCGAACTGGGTCGTTTTTCTGGAATACAATACCGAGAAGAAGCACAAGGAGGAAAAAGAGTGTTAATGTTAGTATTTGATAAATGACCCTCGGTTTCAACATTTGTATTTTTGTTTAATGCAACACGCGTCCGGCAATTTTAACAGTTTTATTTTTTTGAATGAAAATTTACGGGTCTGCAAAATCCAAGTTTTTACATCAAAGTAGTTGGAAGAGTAGGTCGAATTCAAGAACATGTATTTTACCCCATTTCGCTTTTTGTAATACTATTTCAACTTTCTTGGTTTTAATTCGTGATAGACAGCTTCATTTCTAGATATGTAAACAAAAAAAAACTTTCGTTAACTACTTTTGAATACAAAATTTACATTTTGTATCTCTTTAATGTGCAAAGTCGTACAAATTACGATTATAAATCGCTACAGTTAGACGAAGTCATCATCATTTGTCATAGATAGCGAAATAATACTTGAGTTGAACCGTCTTCAAATCCCACTTGGCCTTTCTGTATCATTACTTTGAATAGATTGTATTGATGTTTTGTAAAATAGCGTGTTATCGACTAAGTATTGTTACATAACATCTTATTTAAGCGAGAGATCGTAGATGTGCTAACACCCGAAAACTATTCCCTTGTGTAGTGGTTGCATAATAGGCTGATTATTTGCGCCATCAACTGTCACAAATATGCTATTACTATATGTATACTAGTAAGTCTTATTGTATAGTCTAAAAAAGAGGCGGTTTTGATCAAAAAGTCTGTGTTGTGCTATTCTATCTATACGAATATTTATATTGAATAAATAACCAACATATGGTTGATCTATTCATACTGTAGTCTTGAATTTTCGAATTATGATCTTTTTTAGAGTCATAACCGTATGTTAGGAATTCATTGATGTTTTTAGTTTACGTTTAGAATTAGGTATACCAAATTTTTACGATATCAAGCTTGAACAGGGGTTTGTTTAATGTTAGGATGGCCATATTTGGCCACGCTTAATAAGCGCTAATTCCCTATTTCAATTTAAACGCGTTCTGAGACTTTTATTGCCTTAAATGCAGTTAGGACTAGGGTGAACTATTGGTGTTCTCAATTAGCATGGAATAGTCCTTCTCCAAAATTTAAAAAAAAGTTTTCCGAATTATAATAGTAAAAATATTTTCCGTTGTGTATTATGGAATTCGATACCTTGCATTACCAAATGCAGTCATGTTGCCAGAAATTCCCAATTTCGGTTACGTAAACGTCATCACTCGGCATGATTTTTGATGTCTCGTCTGCCTGCCAAAGTTAAACAGAGTTGGTGCTTGGTAATACCCGAATACAACTTATACTGGTGATGACCCCTGTAACTGTGTGTTTTATGTACTTTTTTTTTTATTAATATTTTTTGTGATTTGTTTTACAGAGTCCACTACGAACCCGAAAGCTTCAACCAGTCGAGCCTTTGAATGAAGTAAGAGTAATTTTAAGTGAATCGCAATTTTGAAGTGAAAATAAAACATTAAAAATTATTTTAAAACTCAACACTCAATTTTATCATCTATATCTACTACGCAATGAGCGCATGAATATATATCATCAAAATAAGTCACATCACAGTTAGAATTTTCATTTCGATATATTGTATGTTAACTTGCCTTGGGCTTACAATTAATTAGCTAATGGACTCAAACAAATGACAGACCTGTCATTTCTTGGTTAACCTATATCGAAATGAAAGGAACCATGTCAAGATTTGATTTCGAGTAAAGTTCATCATATTATCTTTGGTCGGGCTATAGTTACTATGAAAGGTTTCATCTCCTTAATGATGCAAAACTATTAATTCCATCTAGAGATGATATTTCAATCAATATTTAGCGATTTTTATTAGCATGGTCGTATATCACGTTCCAAAAGGACGTACTTGTATATCTGTCTTTTGTGACGCAATGGTCTGATGTAGGTCGTTCATTACGTGCCCCGTAACATTAATGTTGGCAAATTCCAATTCCCAATTATTAGATTGTGTAAAATGTGAAAAGTATGACCAATAAATTAATTATAATTAATTAATTAGTTGACTGTGCTTTTATTTCCTCTGAGTATTTTTATAGCAAAATTTATTATTTGTTTAGTTTGATTTAATGAGATATAAACCATTGAAGTTTTAGAACCATATATATATAGAAAATATATTGTTAAACAAGAATTCTAATATTATTTTGCTTTGAAGTTAGTTTCTTTTACTTCTTAATGATTGCGTTCGATCTTATATGAAATTTTTTTCTTAAAAATATCCTCTGAAACAGAAACTTGCCGAGAATACAAATTTTACTCACATTTCTTTTTAGTTGTACTTACTAATGATGAAGCAAGTCTAGACCAAAATTCTGTACGATTTTTTTTAATTATGTATATACATGCCAGACAATCATCAAAATTTCAATCATATCTTAAATTAAAACATAATAAGAAGCATGAGTCCCAATTATACCGTTATTGCAAAATATCGCTCATACAAAATTTATAAGTTTGCCTATTAGTCATTAGTTTTGATATATTTTAACTGGCCATCGATCCCATTGCCATTTATTGTAGATAACATACATTTGGTGATGAAGCCTGGTTATTACCTACTTGTACTCTTTCGCTATCCGTCTTGATTATTACACATATATATCATTACTATTCCGAAATTTCTTATTGTAATATGTGTTTCGTTTCACAGGAGCCTTCGCCTAAAATTCTGTCGTCAGCCAAGGTACTTCATCGACACCTAGTGGCGATTAGACCAGACTTGTTTTGTACACACAACGCAGAAGATGAACGAGATGGATATGGATCATACGGTAAATAGATGACATCATTATTTCCCGTATATGGAACAAAACTGAATTAAATATTTAGCTTTAGTGGGTGGTTTTTAACCGCTATAAGTAGTTTGCCTGCTGTTAGCCTAGTGATTTCGAATTTGTGGCTATTGTGTTTACGTCGCATGCTACAACATCGACCATGTTTGTGGTTAGCAAACCTAGGTCTTAGTTTTATAAGATACACCTTATAACAAAGAAGCTTTTCTAAATGTTCCTGCTTTAATGGGGGGAGGGGGGGGGGGGTGCAAATCATGACCCATTGTTTGTATTGCTGTGAGTGTCCCACTATATTTTATATTATCGTATTTACTCGCGCCAATCGGCATTGGTTTGGCACGTTATACATCATCATAAATATATATATAGTTTCAGCAGCTTTTAGCATTTGAGTAGTCTACCACAGCTTTGCTCAGAGCTTAGTCTTTTGTCTTTACGAGTTGGTGCACTTGTTCTCACTTTGATCCGATTCTCCTAAAAATATACTTTATTATCGCTTTTAATGTGATCGCTTCACTTGATTTACCATCCCGAAATGAGTCGTTGCAACTTTTCTCTGTCATTACCTATTCTATTTTTGTACAGAATCAACTGCCCGAGACCAAGAGGTTCGATCGTATCCAAATAGCATTTTTGGACAAGACCTTGTCACGTGGTTAGTGACGTATTCAGCTACATCATCTAGTTCTCACGATTCCGATCTTTCGCCATCAACTACGCAGGAAAAGCGTAAAGATGCGTGCGGGATGTTACAAGCTCTACTAGAAGAAGGAGCGATATTTCATGGTAAGAGCTTCACAAAATAGTTTTCAGTCGGGCCGAGACAGGACTGGGGTCGATTGTCTACATTCCATAACATTCAACGTACAGCAACGAATTCAAATTGAAATAATGTTTGATAATTACATACATACACATATGGTATAAAAAATACAAGTGGTGTTTTGTCACAATAGTCACACTGATTTCAACAAACACTAAAATTAGTCTGTCGTTGTTGGCATTAGTGAGCTTGTTTTGCTGGTTGACTTGCGGCTACATCCCAACCACCAGTCGTCTTAGTCCAGCTCTGAGATTAAACAAAAACTCTGTAAACTAGTAGTTACATTTAAGTGACTTTTTTTTACATTAGGTGACCATTTAAAGTCTGGTATTTTCACCCTATCTAAAAAATTAAGAAGGAATTCATTTGCAAATTTGTAATCACATCGCACTAGGCGAAGTCAAGTCAAATTACGGTATACCTATTTTCCAAGCATTGCCAATTGAACTCGGTTAATATGTGGTTATTCGCCCTAAGAATATTACACGTTAGTCTTCACTATACCCGTCTATGAACAATAAAATTTGCAACTTCAAAGGATTATCACCGGATTAACCGGTGCGGCGCGAATTTCCGCGGCACAAATCTGACATTGTATTTGTAAAGTGAAGCCAAGAATGTCGCGCCACCACGCTAATTACGCCGCGTATAGGTTGACGCGCATAGGAGAGACGCTGGACGAACACAGTGGAGCCACACAGTAGAACATGTTCGGACTGGTAATTTAATCATGAAATCGGAATTAATATTTCTTCCTTATTCGATCGATACTCGAACGATTTTCATCATCACTTCGTTCATCACAGAATTTGATACGATTCCTAATGCTTTCTTATCATCTGAAAATTCCAAACTAATGTAAATATTTTTTATTCTGGGTATTTGGATTTTGATTATCCGTCTGCGACATTGTTACGATCTTTAAACTAGAATAAATTTAAAATTACATATTTCGTCCTCCGAAACTTCGTCATTTTCAACATATGGGTGAATTTTCGATGAAAAATTGTTGAGGGAATTTCCCTTTGACGTCATAAACTGCTTCTTCCTGGAATAAGTGCAAACAATTCAATTTGGTGAATTGAGCGACTTGGGCACCTGATTTCCGAAGCGAAAATATTTATTGTCTCTTTTCAAGTTCTCTCGTTCCCTAATTTAATGTTCTCTCGCTTTGTTGACAACCTTGCAGCCTGATCTTGCCCTCGTCGACAATTTTGTCAAAACCCTTGACCAAGCAGAAATCGCATGCACTTGGACTTCGACACCTGATTTATGCGGGTTTACTTGCTAGAATAGAAATCAGTTGATGAGTAATCGAACAGTATAGTGTGTTTATAAACAGACGAGGTTGTAGTTTTTCAGAAATAGGTAAGATGAATGAAAATACTGGCGGATACATAAAATAAAATAATAAAAAACGATCAAGCATCTGGCAGTTTTTATAGGGATCTAATTTAGGCAAAGATTCTTCAATTGCATTTCATGGCATTGAAGCTATCCTTGAATTACACTCAACGCATTGTGTAGGTTTATCTGAATAGCAATGGTATTGAATCAATATTGGACTATGAACTCCGAATGATTATTGCAGAATATCAGTAATATAGTATTACTTATTTTTATTTTAACGGATGTCAGATTTAACAAGATAACTATTGATTGTCGAAAGGTTTTCTGCAAATGTACAAAATAGTAAAAATGGGGTAAATTACTTGCATTTGATAGTATTTGAAGCACATTTTCAGCGTCTTTGAGGATATAATTAGGTATAAGTGAGTTGAAGTGTCACTATCCTTATTTATTAACCCAGCGTGGTTAGTGAAAGATGTCTGTGAGCCGTTTTTTTAGAGAACGGTTGTTAATTTTTTGACTTTTTGTATTATCAGTATTGAGCGTTCTACTAAAGTATGAAAATCTACTTCTCTATCCCAGTTTTTTCTTTGCTTTACGATAACAGAAGGTAAAAAAGTGAATCTTCCTATGGAGCCGCGTTAAAGGTTTAGGGGGCAGCAGCATGGTTTGTGTAAAGAATGTGTTGGTGAACAATAGCTTAATATTCAATGATATGCAGTAGAGCCAAGTAGTAGTGAGTCTTAAATAGCAAATCATAAAAATGCAAAACACAACAAAGAATACGTCCGTAGAAAGGGAATTAGATAACAGCATAAGCAGACGATTCTGCTCATCTGGGATAGAAAAGTCCATCGGTGGTGGGTGACGATGGTGCCCTAAAAATATTCAAAATATTTAATAACATGCTTGCTTACAAATGCAAGAAAATGTGTCAATTGTCTAAAAAAGTGCATGAAATTTTTTGAACGGTTTAAGATACCATTTTTATGAACAAAAATCTGGAGATGAATTTGTTCTTTCAATTCCTCCATGTTCTCTAGTTCTCATGAAATTAGTATTCTAGTTGCTCACCAAGTAACTGATACACAATCATTTTTTAAATTAGAAATTACATAACACCAATAATAGTTTGACGTGGTTGTATGCGCGCTTACCCACTATTTACCTATTGATAAAAATATTTAGTTCATCCGGCCAGGCATTATCTAGGCTTCAAATTATAGCATGATCACACCGAAGAAGCGTGCACATATCGTGCATCTCGAACTCGGTTTGCAGTGAAGTTAGATTAGTCGACAAGATCAACAATTCTTTGTAGACAATGTGCAATTAACACCAGGACATTGTGTTCATAATTAACAAACTTGTCAGAGCCAGCATCTCATTGCATTGTTTGTGCAACTCAAACAGATAGATCAAGGACAAAGAATGAGAGAGCAGTGTTGTGAGTTGTAGCTTAGTAGATGTGCAGAAAGTGGATGTAAGATAATTTTAATATGTCACGAAAGAATAGAAAATTTGGAGATATATGCATGATTTTAGGATTGAAGCAACAAGACATTCACAGATAGCAGAAGTGTCGAATGTAGAAATTTTATATATTAGTAATTGCGCTCACTTTCCGCGGAACCTGATGTATAAAGTATATAATTTGAGTATGTAACAAGTTGTATTGAGTTGGTCAACTCTGATGGTGTGAGGGGGGGTTGGGGGGGTGGACTTGTAAAACTGATTGATGACTTTGATAAAATGATTATGAAATATTCGATTCAACCCCAACTTTAAGGAGTCCATATCTATGTTTTATTCAAGTCACTTGTGTATTGTACATGGCTATATATCGTAGTTCTATTATCTCAAGAGCGAGATGGATCTATCTATTCTTAGCTTGACGTCAATAATCTAATAATATAATCTAACTTTTTGTGTACTTTGGAATGATGTAATAATTTATTTAATGGGACTTTGTGTGAAACCCAGAAATGAAAAACCAACAGCAGGATAGATATTATGGATGCGTGTATTACTTGACTTGAAAACTAGGTCTTTTATAGATGTATTAATACTAGGTTTGACAATCTGAGTAAAATGGGGTTATTTACAACAGAATAGTACATATTATAGTAAACTCTCAATGTCGATTCATTTATTAAGACAGATTTCGAATTTAAAATCGAGAAATTGACGACATGCAGTCACATAGAAAGAGAGAGAGAGGGATCTTTTGACGGAAAGCTCAGTTTGTTATGCCCGATTTCGCATTGTGCGGGTTCTGAATTTCTCCAGGTTTGCCTTACTTGCATTGCATTGATGTTTCTTGTTGGTATGAAAAGCCCTGAAAGTGTCTGCAAAGTGTCTTAAATGAATATGTTGACTGAATACTTTTTATTGCCAAGTTGGGTTCAATTTTAGATGATAAACTTTATTCAAATAAATGACAACATGGTTGAATAACACTTGGAATACTCCAATGAATCTCTCCGAAGCCGCATATTTTTGGAAGGAGAGTAGAATGTGGAAGGATTTAATATCGTCTGCGAACGAGAAGAAAAAGCGTTTGCGACGTCGATCTATGCCGGTGATATTCCCGTTACGAATACCAAAGTTTACTTTTACCGACTCGTCCACTATTATCCCAACCGTTCCGGAAATATACGTCCCTCCTATCCTGGTAACTTGCGTCAAAGTCCGAATTTGTAAGTACACGCTAATACTGAGTTGACAAACAATCGCTAAGATACACGTTGCGTCACGTTGCACCTTATTCGTCACTTTTTGCGTCAAAATTGGACAGACCATAAATCGCCATTTTCTCATGCTTCTGTGTGATCCAACGTGACCATATCTTATTATGTATATTTGGCACTTTCATGCTAACAGTCTAACACTTCTTTATGTGTTTAAAGTTGACAATCCGCAATGTTGCAAGACATATTTATTACATGGTTTTCCAAATATTTTCCCCAAGTATGCGCGGATAGACGAGTTGAGGGTTTGAGTAGAACAATATAAATGCGTTTAATTCAATTTTGCCCAAAAGGAGCCCCGGTATAATAATTCATTTGAATGTAGAAAACTACTACGATTTTAGAAATTACGAATTTTGGACACAAAATAGGCTTTTTACTTTATTATGCCTCAATTAGGGATTTTTGCTGAGAAATTAACACTGCATTTTAGTATAGTGCTCCGAGCATACATTTTGACAAAAACAAAATTATCTGCACTGACATTTTTTCATATTCAGTTTTACATAATTCCTAATATTCCATATCATTTTCGCTTCAGTACGAAGAGAACATCATTTCCAAGACACGTATCTTCTGTACCAATTTCATGAAGCCGTTTCAAAAGCAGGTGAGAGTTCAAAGGTCAATGGTCGACCTGTATCGACAGAAAGCACTTTCTCTTCCTCAACGATAAGCAGTGATTTCAATTCGACAACTAGCACCGAAACAAATGATACTGAAATTCAGGTAAATATAATGTATAATTTTTAATATATTCTAGTAAATAATTAATTAGCGTAGACCGCAGAGTCAAATTTATTCAGTGAAGGTGATACAGAAACCCACCCACGCGATGCAACAGAAACAGAGGCTTTTTATAAAAGACTAATATTCAAAACCCCTGCAAATATATATGAACAGATGGCACAATTATCAATATTTTCATTTGAGATAGATATACTTGAAATCATTAATTTAACGATTCTCCATCTAAAACACTGCGACCACGTTCTTATTCCTAACTATCTTTTCATATAACTATAATTGGGTCTTCATTTACAAATTGGTTATCAATGAATAATGGGCCAAACATCAACCTAAAAGAGGAAACATCCTTGACCCTGCTGGATCTAAACCCAGTAGCCGTATGTAATAACATATACTTGTGCAAATGCTTATGCTAAATGCATAAGGACAATGCCTTACAAAGCTGCATAATACTGAAATATTTCTCTTCTATCAATATTCATAACTATACGTAATGAAGGGCTGATTATGCAGGGCCTTGCGCTGAGCAAAATTGAAAAAAAATGATATTATAACTTTTTTTATGCGACTACAATGCAATATTAATAATGACTGAAGTTTCCAAAATTCTTGGAGTAATAAGTCTATCATGTCATTTATACATATAAATATCGTAATTTCTTAACATAATATGATGTTATATTTTAAAAGATTAATATTTCGTGTAATATTTTCAATGTTTCCATCCTCATTATCAGAATGATGACCCGGCCCCCCAACCACCAAGGCGACATAACGACACAGAACACTGGGTACCTTCATCTGTTGATGAACTAGAACTGAAGGAAGTGCTTTCTCATCTTCAGAATGTCGCACCTGACGCCATGTTTAGAATGGTGCTTCGAAAGCTGTAAGTATGATAGTTGTATGTGCAATATGCTGACTTTCTGGGTCCGCGATTAAAACACTTTGAATTGAAAATAACTTGAAAATTAATAAATTGTATGCGTGTATAGAACTAATACGTTTGAGGTGTTCCGTCTAAAAGCAGAGCCAATTCGAATATTTTCAAATCCCAAATACCAAAAAATAACCACAAATCCTATACTAATAGGATTTTTAAAGTATCTCGGTTGAAAAAATTTCATTAATAAATAATGAATGTTGTCACATCGAATGATATATGAACTTGGTGTGATTACAGCCCAAGCGAAATAATCGATACCCACGTACTACTTTCCAATACACCTTCGAGTTCAGTTTTTGAACGAGTGAGTTTTTAGTGAGTTTAAATAGTACATATTGTTAAATATTAGATTTGAGTTTGGATGTATCCATCTTGAAATTCTTTTCATTTGCGCTCTAGAATTATTTTGGAATTGCCCTAAAAGTATTCCTCGTTTAGTTAGTGTTATACATGGTCTAAAACATCACATTCTACAGTTTTGTCCTATATAACAAAATTTTAAACTTTACCATCCTTTTTATAAATTTTGTCTCTCGACGTTTAGAAGTTGCAATTCCCTTGCATATAATCTGAAAGTAAAAATTCGTCTCCCTTGCTAGTAGAATTCCCACTGCTATAATGCAATGAAATCTCCAACATTTTGGTTTTGAATTGATTGAAAAAAGAAATGTAATCAGTCTGTGTCGTGACAAAAGTTGGTTTGCTTCTGTATGCATAGTTCTGTCCATGTTTGGTCGGATAACTATGTGTTAACCCTGTACATTTTTAGGCCAAAAGACAGAACGGCAGAAGAACTGATGATGATATATGAAGAAATTTTGCACATCAAGGCATTAGCACATCTCAGTGACTCCGTGAGTATAGTAGTTGTATTATTACTTATCGATCTTAAGATCGGTAAGTATGTTGATAGGTATTTGTCTGTCTGTTTGTCTGTTTGTTTGTCTGTTAGATGAACGCGATATCTCAAGAGAGCGAATCTGCTCCAAATTTTGCATGTACATTCATCATATCTCGAACCAGAAGCGAGATATTGATTTTGGATGAATTTTGTCGTATAATTAGCGAGTTATCAATTAATTAGTGATGGGACACGCGGTGTCGCTATAGAGTCATGAATCGAAACCGCAGTTTCGATCGATAAGTCTTCGGTCTCCGACCGATATTCTCGTTTTCAATATTTAATGGGATAAGCGTTAACTCACTCAACTCAATATACGAGTATGTAAATTATTACTCCCAAAATCCTTCATTTATAATAAGGAACACATATGGTGACGTCTGAATTTTTTGACGTCATTTTCCTTTTGTGAGAATTTATTCTCTATTGTACGATCTCTATGTATAATCTACCGTGATGTGGCCATTTGACGATGGGCGTGCTTGAATTTTATGCAGTTAATATCTACATTTGGCAAACTGACTAATGTACTACCATGTGGAAACCTCGTTTCCATTACTGGGGAGAATTTCCGGTCACGTACAGCCGTATCTGTGACATAATTGTCCATTTGTCTAATTCTGTTTTCTTTTGCAGGTAAAAAGAGAGCTTGCTGGCGTTCTCAAATTTGAATTCCACAGAAAACGCGGCAAAACACGTAAGTACAATTTCCGCTAGGTTGTGATCGAGAGCCCTAAATTTTATCATCTGAACTATATACATGGCATAACAAAGACCCATCTCTAGTAATAAGTCAAAAAATCGATTCTCGACTGATTTCTTTTAATCCACCAATATTGTTTATTATTATACAAAAAATTCAGAAAAATACAAGATAGGATTCGTGCTTTTAATGATTTATCAAGTTTTGCAGTTAGGTTAATTGGAAGTAAATAATGACGAAATCGACATAGTACTAACCCGGACCAAATTATTGCACAATTACTTTCTGCCAAGTATGCACTATCTAAGGCACATGCTCGACCATGCAACTTTTTACCTAATATTTTAACAGATTTTAGACTATTACTATTGTTTTTGTGTTTAGTGTTCAGTCAAGGCGACGAAGGACGTTCGTGGTACATCATTGTAAAGGGTGCTGTTGACGTCGATATACAAGGACAGGTAAGTCAACATCCTTCTTTATAGAATACACTTAGGTGTCAATGACGTCAGAGCCTACTGACGTCATCATCAGGAAATATTTGAAATGTTATTTGACGGATCCACAACAAAGGAATGTAGTGTTTGCTTGGATAACCCGGAAACAATTAAATACACATTTGCTAGCAAATTGAATTTAAAATCGATCAAGCATGACTCGAAGTTAATCTGTGTCTCAAAATGTTAAATCACACACCGCCCATGCTTCGTGATTTTAAAATAAGTCGCTGGATAGATTAAAATTTATGACATACAGACAGTGTCTAAGTTGAAAAGTACAATGTATGTAGAAGTCTGACGCCGGTACCGAGTTTTATTGCCGTTGTTTTACGGTTTTCGGTAATCCGATGTTTTCCGCGGTATATTTTGACGCATATCATTTTAACAGTTTTTTTGAAAATACAATGACTAATGTAACTTAAATTTTAAAAACGCGGAACATTGTTGTAAATACTACACAAAACACATTATATTTGTGAACTGGTATTAGTATGCCTGGTTTGGATTTTTACAGGCAAAAGTCAACAAGTACAGTATTGTTGTATTTTTTAATTATAAGATTGCGGTATTTAACAAAATATTAGTTAATGAGTATATGCACTTCCACTCATTGCAAATATACTCCATGGGGCATCACAATAACCCGCTTACCCTTTGGAGAAGAATAAAATGCCAGTTGGGGCCGTATTTCTATAATTCCTCCTAGCATATTTACACATTGTGAAGCCAAACTTCATTTTTTTTTCTTAGCGAAAAACACAATGAAGATCATATATTTCCTATTGCGTCATAATAGGGTAACTCATTACTCATCGTCCATTGTCTAAATGTCGTCTGCAAAAACTAAAATTTCGAAAGATAAATCCATGTAATGTCAAGACCACAGTTTGAATGCCAATCCTAGTTTTATAAATTATTGGGACAAACTAGGGCAAAAATGGTATTAATCAAACAAAATAACTTCATTTTTATCCAAATTTTGAAAGTTTCAACTTTTAGTAGTTTCTGTAATATTACAATATAATTATTTCCCTTGATAAAAAGTTGTGCCATATTTTTTTTTAATATTTTTCACATCTACTATATAAAATGTATACAAATATTATTACACATGAATCATCTATGTTTATGTATGAGAGTACTTTGGGTTTAAAAACCAGAACAATGAATAAGATTCCAGAACTTAAAATTTGTATGAATGAACCATTAAGCTCTTTATTGCGTCATCAGACGCAATATGGTTGCACGACTTTCTTATGTTATACGGGTACGTTCTGATCACAAAGGTTCACAATTTGGCAAACTTAGTCTTTGTGTTATTCATTGTACAAACTTGCATGCCTAATTGTCTTTATCGTGTCTTTAAATGCTCTGTTTTAAATAAAAATTTGCTAAATTGCCAAGCGTCATTATTCCTGAAATTTTTTAACGTGCGACGTCGTTTTTGTTTCGAAACTGTCTAGCCAATTGAAGGATCTTGCTTTTTTGGAATCTAAAATAAGATAAAGTGTCTCATTGGCTATTCCGTATATCTATTAACGACCTGTCTTTGCGATTCGTAGGTCTCAAACTTTTGTATTTTATTGTCATGCAACCTACTCTACCAGACACCATTTTCAGTTCTATACTATACACTTACTCGGGTTGAAATTTGTTGGATTCATAGCTCGGAACTATAATTTTACTTCATATAGTCACACCACCAAATTGCAGCTTCTAATGTTATCAAGGCTACTTGTACATAACTTTATTAGCAGTGATGATGCGACAACAACTCATAATAAAGTGAATAACGTAATTCAAAAGAATCTAATTTTTGTTTGTTTGTTTTTTAATTTGAGAGGGTAGGGATTTGAAGTTTGTATTTTACAACCCACTTATAACCGACTTAACCTTTTTCGTGAAATTAGTATTAAATTTGTCGCGATATACAAAATAGTAAGTTAGTAGAAATGGTAGAAAGATTTGAGTTTTTTATGTGTGTGATTTATACTGCCTGCTATACTCTCGTACATAAAGCCTTTTTCTTGAGCTGGAAGGAACTTGTGATCGTTTTACGTTTACGGTAAAAGTCTCTTTACAGTTTAAAAAAAATTGTAATTTGATTTTATGATAAATTTTGAGAATTGTGACGAGACTATAGGCACTCTGTATATTTTATGTAACACTTAATTCCATTATTTGTCTGACAAATCACTCGTCACGTCATATTCCCTAATATATTTATGTTAACTTTTCACAAAAACACGTTTTGGTCATTATTTGTATAGACATAATCGGTCTAGTTATTGGTCATCAAATTATCAATAATCCTCGATCATGTGTGGACCAAAAAATATCTTTATTGTAAAATGTTATTACATCCTTCATTCGAACTTACTTCCGACAGGGATATTGCTGTTAGACATCGACAGTAATTTTATTTAGTTTTAATAGTCATTAATTTAATTTTTATCTCGGTCCTTATGTGAAATGGATAATTTTGACATGTTTAAATGGTTGGATGTTTGTGAATTACGCTTTAATTCCGTTACATTGACAATTTTCTTTACATTAAAATTTGTTATTTCTACAAAATTCATAGCTTATTAAATCCATCCGGAGTGGCCACGATGTCCAGTCCGATGTACATCCGGTCACGTATATTTTCAATCGGTTTTGTTAAAGTGTCATAAAGACTTCCTGGCCCTTTGTGTCGTCACAAACCCCTAACCACACCCAACCAATATCCAGGTACCTAAACACGTACTATTGGTCACAATGTTTATTTGCCGAAATCGAACGTGTTTCTATGAATTTACCCTGAACCATGTATGGCCAAATTTTACCTATCCCATTTTTGGGGACTATCCCACAATACTCATCTCGTGGGAAATATAAACTCACTCTATTTGTGTCTAAGGAAATTCATTGTGATTGCAATTGATGTGCCGCATAGAATCGTAAAGCTAAAATTTACCTTAGTTTAGGTAATATCCGTTAAAATTGAGTAGACTGTTTGAAAACATTTTAAACGATTGAACATTGCAACGATTGAAACTTGCTTGCAACAAGATTTCTATCACCTTGTTAAATGTATAACCACGGTCATCTCAGTGCCATTGTATTTGTCGTAGTCCTACAATCCCACTTTCTATATGACATTCAGATAGGGAAGAGACTATTTAAATGACAATTGTGATCATATACACATCCCAATTCCAACTTTTGATGTAAGCAAATGGATGCGCTGCAATGCTATATATTTCTATATTATTATATTCTAATTCGATACAAGCGATTTTGGACGTAAACATTCTTAGTATAATCAAATCTTTCGGTGCTCCCGAAGTATGAGAACCAAGATGGCGGACATCGGAACGTAACATGGGTAACAGGTTAGGGTTAGGCGATAATTTTTTTCCAATTTTCCCTATTTTAGTCCTATTATCAGTTCGAAGACTAGCCAAGAGCCCTCCGTAGTATTTATACCTAAAATTATGGCCTTACCCTAACCTAGTACACATATTACATTCCGATGTCCGCCATCTTGATTCGCATACTTCGGGAGCCCCAATCTCTCAATACGAATGTGTGTTGCCATGCCATTTTTTCCAATATAAAAGAGTTTAGCTAGTTTACAACAGAATTTCAAATCAGCTATTCCGAGCTAGGGAGAAAAAATGCTGGCGGTGAGCTTTGTTTAGAGAGTCGTAAATAGAATTAATTTCGGGGAAAACTAAAGCTGAAATTATTATTTTTTGTTATTCTTAACAATATGGCCATATTTACAACTATTAATATGTGTATGCAAAATACATGGCAATGTTGTCTCGTTTCGTTTTCCATACGTCTCACTATAGCGCACTCTGATTTTAATCGAGCATGTGCCATTGATGGACCGCGCCTCGGCAGCGCGATTCATCAACAGACCATACTTGATTGAATATAAATCATCTATTGAAGCAAAGCACAAAAATTAACTGAAATGAAATCTATACCAGAGATAGACAAATATATGAATGAATTCAGACAATTCCATTACTTGAAATTTGATTATATATTAAAATATTTCCGGGTCAAAACATTCTTAATTTATATCCGGCGTAATTACTTACATAAATCGGAAACAAATTTGTCGGTAGATATCTTTGGCCGTACATAAAGCTTGGATTGCAATTATACGAAGCATTTAATGAAAACGGAATCAGAATTTGTACCTCATTCGAAAAAGGTATTAATCTTTGCAATAGTCAATGTCTTATTTGACATGGAACATAACAAATTTTACTGTTCAAATACTGTAAGAAATGCTACTTCCGAGTTTGAAAATTTTATTCTATGTTTAGGATAAAAGGGGAGTGGTTCCATGACCCCGCCCCCATCTGTAACATAGTGAATCATAATATTGCGTAGGTGAGACATGTTCCTACTTTCTTGTAAATAAGGATGTCTATTCGTCAGTTATGTCGCCGCTTATACTATGTTGTTTTCGGATAAGGTGTTATCATTAAATACTAATATTGCATCAATAAGCAGTGTATGGCATGTCATAGTTGCCCATAAATTAGTAGTATTATTGGTACCAATTTTGACATTTCTACCTAAACTTTTTTTAAATTATCAGAAAAATCAAATATTTTGGCATTTTTATGTACTTTAATGATTCATCCACACAATTTTTTTGCCAAAAATCACACAAATAACGTATTTTCGGTTATTTAGGCTCACGTTTTCGCACCTTGATTAATTGCCTAGTTTCTCATTCCTGTACTATATGATGTCACAATGCACATATATGAGCATATAACTCGATGGCAATGGTCGATCTTTCTCAGAAAAACATTGCTTTTACGATTTCTGATAAAACCAATGCAATCGCCAATCACTCTTATTCATATTTTTATTATGAAACTCAGTTTTTCTGTTATGGATTCAAGTAATATGAAGGTTATAGTAACAGGTTACATTTTAAAATTTAC